CACTTTTAGTCGAATTTAGATCACTTTGATTCATGTTTGTTTCGATTTGTTGTTGATTGAAAGATTTTCGTCTCGAATCTCCGATCATATTTTTTTTCTTCTCAGCAAATTCACCGAAATTCGGTAATCCTTGACCAATGGTTCCAACTGGTTTACCTTTCTGATGCTTAGGTGTTGGTGGTGATTGAAAATTCCAATCATGGTAAAGTTCTGGATGAGCTTTTATGTAGAGACAAGCTCTGAGTCCATCAATATAATCATCGATTAAAGTAAAGTCTTGATTCTGAACAGCTGAACAGACTTGAAGTAACGATGCACCGGCCATGATAAATTGTAACCCAGCTTCAGCTGAATCAATCCCACCGGTGGCAAGAATTGGATATCCTGGTAAAGCTTTGGCGATAGCAGAGACTCCCCTCAAAGCTATTGGTTTAATTGCAGATCCACTGACACCACCATAAGTTGTCCGCTTCTGGATTCCAACACCAGGCCAAGGTTCACCTTTATCATTAAGCCCCATTAGTCCAGAGACTGTATTAACAGCGGTCACGCCATCGGCCTTGCCCTCATGAGCAGCTTTGGCAATGGTGCAAATATCTGTCACATTTGGAGTTAACTTAGCAAAGAAAGGGATTGAAACTGTTTCTCTAACCCAAGAACAAATTGATTTGACCAATTGTGGATCTTGACCACAAGCTAAGCCCATTCCTCTTTCACCCATTCCATGAGGACACGATAAATTCAATTCCAAAGCATCAGCTCCCGCATCTTGAGAGAGTTTAGCTATAGTTTTCCAATCATTCTCATCAAATGAACACATGATCGAAGCAATCAAAATGTGATCAGGGAAATCATTCTTAATTTCTCTGATTACCTGTAACCAATATGCACAAGTTTTCTCGCTAATCAACTCAATGTTCAAAAAAGAGCCCAAATTTGGACCAAATGAGGGTCCGAATGTTGTTCCACGAATAATTCGAGGTGAAACATTGGTCACTAAATTTTTGTCCAAACTAAAAGTTTTCGTGAGTGCAAATCCCCAACCTGCTTCGAAAGCTCTTCTAATCATCGGACCCGAAGTGGTTGGAGGAGCCGATGCGAGGCCGAATGGGTTTTTGAAATGTAGACCAGCAACTTCAACGCTTATGTCAACGGTATCGATTGGAGTGTAAAATTTGGGTAATTTAGGAATCGACGGCACAACATCATTGAATAGAGACTGTAAATGAAGAGAGAACGAAATGATTAACTGATTGTTGTTATTATTAGACTAATTTCTTACTTGAATATATTTGTGAATCGACCAAGCGGCCGTTTTACCATCGTTAACGGCTTCAACTGTTGTCTCAGCCACTCCGGCGATGTCACCGCCTGCAAATATCCAGTCCACATTTGTTTCCATTGTTTTTTTATCGACCTCTGGTAATCCTTGGTCATTTAGTTGTACAGGTTCAAGGGCCGATTTAATCTCGTCAGAATCCAGGGTTGAACCAAATGCAGAGATTATGATATCAGCTTTAATTTTAATCCGTTGGTCTTCATCTTCGATCAATCGACGAGAAACTGGATCAACTTCTGTTCGGGCAAAGATCATACCTTCAATCGTATTGCCATCAGCTCGAAGAACGACTTGTTTGGGTGAACAGAAAGGGATAAATTCGCATTTCTCTTGACGAGCTAATTCCATCTCTTCTGGTACAGCCTTAATATTGGTAAATCCTCTTCGGAAAACGACGGTCACTCTTCGAGCACCACACCGAAGTGCCGATGTAGCACAATCGAAAGCAGTATCACCAGCACCAAGGACAAGTACCAGTCGTCCACGAAAATCAGGAAGTTGGGCTGCAAGTTGCTGCTGTTTACATGGACACAGGCCAGGTTTCGATGCCTCCGACACGGAAGGTAAAAATTGTTTCGATGTAAAATAACCGGACGATGAATCTAATCCTTTGAAAATGCCCAAAGATTTAGATTGAGGTAAACCGATACCAATGAAAATCGCTTTGTAACCTTCATCATTTCTCAATGATGAACAAGTAAAATCTTTACCAAGCGCCGAGTTGGTCTTAATTTTGACGCCTAATTGTGTCAACAGGTTAATCTCAAAATTAACCGCATCCACGGGTAAACGATACTGAGGAATCTCGGAACTGGATAAGCCTCCAAAATAAGGTTTCGCCTCGAAAATAGTTAAATCGGTATAACCTAAACGGGCCAGAAAAGTGGCACAAGATATTGACGCTGGTCCACAACCAATTAATCCAATTTTAGTTAAATAAGATTCAGGAGAGTGAACATTGAATGGATAAGTTTTAACTGTAGACGGAGGTCGAATCTGCGGAACCGACATCATTTTGAAAATCTTGACGAGGAAAAAAAAAGGTATTTAATAACAATCAACGATTAGAATTGACTGATTACCTCCGTTGCAAATTGCTGCAATCCTCCAATATTAATCGGACCCTCTTCAGTTGCATACAGATTACATCCGCCTACACAAAGGTCACTTGTCGGACAAATCATACCACAAGTTAATCCTAACGGATTATCCGAAAAAATGGCCTTAGCAGCTCCATAATAGTTCTTAAAGACGATCAACAATTAGAAATTATTTATTTGAATCAATTAAATCGTTTACCTTGTTACTAATCATCGTGATAAATGATTTAATGTCTATGTTGGTTGGACAACTTTTTTGACACGGAGCATCAGCGCACTTCAGGCATCTTGTGGCCTCTTTAAGAGCACCTCGTTCACTCAATGTCGTGTGTTTAATATCATCGAAATTGTTTTCCAAATCTCCACAGGTCTGCATTTAAGTATTGAATATAAGTTGAACAATTTAGGTTAACAATTAACTGATTTACTTACCGAACAACTTTTATCTTCGTTTCGTTTCCAGTGTTTTTTATTTGCTTTCGTTTCAATACTTGGAATAACGTTGGCATGTTGTCGCGATCGGGGATTTAATTGTAGTAAACTCTGCAATTAATTGTCATCAGAATTAATTTGCTACTCGATTAACAGTAATACAATATAATTTGTTTATTTCATATGATTGACTTGATCTTCAATGTCTATTGATTGACAATCATCATTTGATTAATACTTTTCTTTGTGTCAAGTGGTTAAGATAAAAACAATTAACATCAATTCAATTGATTTTAATCATTGTAAGAATTGATTAATTGATCTTTAATTTGAGGTTAATGTTAAATTTAAAAGTCAAATCTAGATAAAGATCAATGGGTTAAATCAATTAACAATAATAACTTTCAATGGAAGAGGATCGAAATTGTATTGAATCAATTGTTTAGATTTTAATTGTTATTAAAATAAAAATACCTCAATATCGGGTGGATCACGACTTAGTACAGGGGCCATAATAACTTAATCACAATTAAATTGTTAAACAAAAAGCCAAGAATAGACAGTAATTATTGGAGGATTAACTTGATCTTTCAATTAACTATGTAGTTGGAATCAAACAAAATTAAAATCCAATGTTGATGTTGATTGTTAGTAACAATTGAGATAAGTGAAAACCAAGACACTCTGTTACTCAGACTGTTGATTAAATTGATCTCCAAGTTGAAGATAATCAATGTTGATTATCCTCAACAAGTCACAAGTTTATGAGATGTAATTGTTACTTGAGGCAAATTGTTTTTCTGCACGATTCTTAATTTTTTGCTCCGATTAAATTAAGATAATAAGTGAACTTTAACTGAGATGCGATTCGATTACAGGCTGTTGATTTTTCTATTATGTGGACAATAAACGATCAGCAACTCTAGCTGAATATCTCTGGACAGCATCTTCGAACACTTGACCAACAGTTCGCTTCTTAAAAATTGCATCTAATTTCTGTTTTTTAATCTCTTCATGTGATAACTTGGGTTCGTCGGATTTCACTTCGTCTTTAATCACTTCACTTTCTTTTGGTTCAACGGTTGATTTTACTTCTTCTTCATTAACATGACCACCACTTGGAACATCATTCTCTGTATCTGATTCTGATTCTGATTCAGACTCCGATTCATGTTCGACATCAGCATCACCATCGATAAAACGGGCTGATTCTTTTTTCTTTTCTTTTCCTTTTTCTTCTTCGTTGTTTTTTTGTTTATCTTCTCGTAGTTTTTTACATGTAATAGTAGAATCATCATCTTCCATTGAATTTTGTCGAGCCTCTCGAGGCCGGTAGCTCTGTTTTCTCTTGATTTTTGCTTTTTTCTCTTCTTCAATTTTCTCATCTTGTTTCTTTTTCGCTTCATTGGTAAGAGTATTATTTAGAAAATATGTATAAAATCCACTGAGATCTTTCTGTTTTTTCACGTCCATCGCTTCTTCCAAAGCTTCTTCCATCTTTGCTTTTTCCTCGGCAATCCTTTTCTCTTCCAACTTTTGCTTGTAAGAAGCAGAAATAAACGTTTCCTTGTCCGCGAATTGTTCACCTTCCGCTTCCCTTTCAGCTTGAATTTTACGATCAAATCTTTGTTCAGATTCCTGTTTTCTTTTATTAGCAGTTTTAAGTAAATTGGAAATATACTTAGATTTCAATTCTTTCTTAGGTTCGTTTTTCTTTAAATCATCAACCGGCTTATTGTCCTTCTTTATGTCTTCGTAAATCTCATCATATTCAAAAATACTGGGATCCTCTTCCAAAGCCTTTTTAATATTCTTCTGAGCGATTACATTACTTCCCATCTTGTCGACAAATTAACTCAATTATAAATTGAAACCACAATTAAATTTAAATCAAAGACACAGAATAATAAAAGCACAAAATTATTTCTCAACATTTGTTGAATCAAATGTAAACAAACACTTGAGTAAAGAAAAGCGGTTAATTCAAAAAGAGGAAAATTTTTTTCAACAATTAACGTTAATTTAGAATTGATTTATGATAGATTCTTGTTGAAAATTCATTTTTCTTATCATTATATCTTATCACAGTGTATGAGAACTTTGATCATTGTATCAGAATTGTATTCGTCTAATCGTTGAATCTGTTAACTTTAATTTGGTTCAAATCATTTGTAAAGTTTTAAATTGAACAAAACGAAAAAAAGTTTACAATTATCTAATCATTCCAGAAGGGATTGAAATCAGCCCATCCACCATATTGTGAAGATAAATCGTCAGCTTGTTGATCATTTTCAGAATGATTAGTTTCATCAACAATTAGTTTACCATCATCAGTATTTGATTCAAGATCAAGATCAATAACTACATCAACACAATAGAGAACAGAATCATTTTTGATTTCCAAATGAACTTTGATTTTACCCTGGAAATTAAAGATAATGTTGAGAAGCGGAAGACACAAATTAGAGTTCAAATTGTAAAGTAAATAAGAATTAAATCTGAGTGTTTAACTTACATTTGCAAGAGACAAAATTGCCTGGGGAATTTTGGATAAATTAACTGGAATTATGAAATTAGATACTGAATATTGTCCAGGTAAAAAGGGCATCGAACAGGGTTTGCCCATTTGGGTCAGTAATTTGCAGACAAAAGTTTCGTTGTAACGAGTAACATAATCAATCAATTTCTGTGTACACGAACCATAATCATCGATACAAGGAACTGAGATCCACTTTTTGATCCCGAAAACGGAGATTTGCTTCTCGATTTTAAGAACCAGATCAACATCGTCGTTAACGGCAGAGTCAATGCTTCCAGATAGGGAAAGATCAACGGGATGTGAGGTACCAACGACAATTGGATCACCAGGGACTACAAGAGAGTCCAATTTACCGATGTTGGTTTCGATGTCACATTCAGTGTATGAAATTGGATCAGATGAAACAATTGAGACAATTAAGAAAAAAGTTACAAGTTTTAAATACATTTTCAAATTTCAATCTCCTTACTGTTGAAATGATTGGAACAATTTACTAACTATCAACTGTTTGAGAGTGTTTTTTGTACAATTAACGGTTATCATTAAATTGTTATTGTTTATAAGCAATCAGAATGAAAACATTTATCGGTTTAAGGTTTTGCCTAATCATAATCAGCGATATTTTCGCTAATTAACTAATTGTTGTAGCGATTAAAGTGATTGTTGTTTAATTCCTGGTTTTATGATCACAATTGAGTTTAATCAATCTTTGAGTCATTTAATTATCATTTAAATTATGTTGACAAGAAAATCGTTGGGATGAGTTTTTGTATAATTATTTAATCACTAACTGATTGTAACAATCAACGATACAATTGTGTTTATATATTTTCATTCATTTTCCTTCATTTGATTTAATCATTTCAATTGTGATAATTATGTTTTCCATCATTTGATTTGATTTATCCTTTTCTTTTTGTTTCCATGCGACAATTAATCAGTTTCAACAGTTAATTAAATTGTAACAATTAATCTTCCTCATGGGAAATATTGGTCATCTCAAGATCCAAATCCAAATCAAGGCAGGTCACTGACTGGTCATCCCTATTAATCACAATATTAACATTATAATCACCCTATCAAGTAATCAAGAAACGAAATAATTAATCAACAACCAACAATACAAATGTAAAAATCTATCAATGATTGAATCAAAATCAGAGGATAACAATTCAATCGGATAATTAATAATCACATGATTACCAATTTAGATGCACAAAAACATTAGATCTTGAATACAATCAATGATTCAAATTGATGATTTAGTTCAACAATTAAAATATAAACTTACAGATGACAACCAAAGGAGCATCTTGGGAACATTGGACAAGTCAATGTGACCATTGAAATCGTTGACAATTAACTGGCCAGGATCAATGGGACACAAACAGGGTCGATCGAGTGATCTAATTAACGGACACCCGAAACTATTTTCATCGCTGGTCAAAAAATCACATAGATTACGTTCACAGGAACCATAGCCTTTGATACAGGGGAAACTGGGTAAAGTTAATCGCTTACCGAATATCGTAAATACTTTGCTAATTGAGATTTTAACAATTAACTGATCATCGATTGGTTTTGTTAGATTTACATCTAAAGATACTTTCAATGGTTTAACAGGATCACCGATTACAATGGGATCACCTTCAATTGTTAACGAGTTGAAGGTAAGAATTGGATTATCTGATTCACAATTAGACCATGAAAGTGAAAAAACAATCAATGGAAAGTTAATCAAACAGATAACAATTATTGCAATCAGTTGATTTATTGGAGAAAAGAAATTCATTTTCAAACTAAACTGATATCATTTGGAATTAAAAATAATTTGATTCGTTGTTAATTTTAAAAGGAAGTAAAGTTTGATTGTTAATTGTTTGATTGATTGAATTTTCTGCTTCATTATAATCATTTGATTAAAAATATCGTATTTAATATTCAGTAAGTATCCTCATGTCCGAATGGTCAAGTTCAGAGTTGAAGTCAGTTTAATAATTTTTAATTGTTGAATTTCAATTTGATTAAAAATTTTTGTTCCACTTTTAGAATCACTAGTTAACAGAATTTTCTGAAAATCCTGTCAATTGTTTTAATTTATCAATGGTAATCAATTGTTCATTGTTTCTAACAATAGATCAATAAAATCTGTCCAAGTGTCGATTTGGAGAAGGTTGATTAAGACAATTATGTCGATTAATTAACTTTGTTAACAAATTAAATCAGATCAGATTCGAATGGAAAATCAATCGGTTATTCCCGTTTTCTGATCACCATTTAAATAGAGTTTTGATATCATGAGAATCTTAATCAATTCATAAGATCATGTTGAGGTTGATTTGGAATTTCATTGTCAAGGTGTCGATAAATATATCGACGAATTCATGTTTCAATCCTTCGTTAATTGAGTTCATCTTGATTATTTATTCTGATTTTCAGAGGCGTTTCAATTAACTGACACAATCAAGTCCATTGATCTAATCAACATGGAATAATATTCTTAATTGATGATGGAAACAACTGAGAAAATTGTATAAAACCAAATCGAAGCCAAAAAGTAATTTGAATTCTATTCTTGCCTTTTTGATAAAAGTAACAAATTTTATTCTAATAAAATGTTTTTCTACGTTATTTTTGTTTGTTTCTTAATTTCTACAGTACAAGTTGAGGCCAAATCCAAGATAAAAATACCATCATGGGAAGACTGTGGTGGTCGAGATGCAATAATAAAAGTTCATAAAATCGACCTTGACAATCCAATCAGAATCGGTAGAGAAGATCCCATCCGAATTTCAGTTAACGCCACCCAAGCGACACCAATTTCAGGGGACTCAGTGGTCACCATAAAAATCAACAAAAACCTGAGAGTTCTTGGTCAAAATTTACCGATTTGGGTTCCCTGTCTCAATGGAATCGGTTCTTGTACAATGACTTTGTGTGAGATTTTCAAGATTCACCGGAAACTCGTTTGTGCCATCCTTGAATCTGCTAATCAAGAGTGCAAATGCCCATCGGAACCCGGCGATTATGTAGCCAATGTTAATTACCAACTCAACTTCGGTCTCTTCCCTCCAGCCTTATTAGCCATTGGAAATGTAAGTAAAAAGAAATGTTGATCAATAACAACTTAGAGAAATCTGAAAATCAGAAATGCTGATTGGTATAAATCACATTAACTCTAATTGTGATGATTAACGATCGAATATTTTACCAACATAAAATAATCCAAATTTTTCCTACTCATTAACAGGGAGATTATTCCATGAGCATGAAGATTAACCATGAGGATAAAGAATTAGCTTGTATGAAAGTTAACGTTGGAGTTAAATTCGTATAAATTACCGATAATTAAAAAAAAAACGAGCAAAAAAACAGCAAAAGAAAACCAATGATCAGAAAAAAAAATCCAACAGTGAAAGTGAATCACAAAGACGAATCACCAACAAAACGACAATTTAACTTTCCAACGATTCAGATTAGTCAATCTGATCTAATCAACAATTAAAAGAATAACAATCAACACAAGCAAAGAGTAAACTTGTTGCATTTCACTTTCAAATGTCTCTATCGTTGATCAAATGATTTTTTTGCGATTAAAACACAACAAAACTCAATTTACTCGTTTTCTTATTAATCAATAAAATAACTGTGATTGTAAACTACTGTGTATGAACCTAATATTTCATTAAAATAATGAGAAGTCTTTTATTGTGGCGATTTACAAAGTTGATGGTTTCAAAAAATTAGGTCAATGAATATCGAGTTATCGACTCAGTCCAGGCAAATTACTTCTTTCGAAGGGTCAGCTGCTTTTTTCGCCGCTTCGATCATTCTTAATTCATCTCTCAAAGCACTTTGATTTGTTTCGCGAGGTAATTGTTTTCGTCTTCCTGGAACATAATTATATTGTATTGCACCCACGAACCAATCATAACATTCGATAACTTGTTCTTTGGTGAATGGAAGCTCGTACGGTGCTTTGAGATCGTTGAAAACTTTTGTCATTAAGTCAAAATCGACTGATGTTTGTTGGTTGATCCTGTTAAATGTATTTCGCATGTGAGAGGCATGATTATCATTGAAATACCTTCGAATCCTCTGTAAATTGTACAAAAAAAAATCCATTAGAATTAATTATCAGAAAATTAGAATCTCAATTCTATCATGACTGGACAATATAAATTAATGATAGAAATTTAGTAAAGATAATTCATTAATGTAAACCTAACAATATATTAACTGATTCTTACGCCATTTTTTACTCCAGTTGATTTGTTTGAATTTGTATTGGTGTTTTGGCCCATCTGACGGTTCTGTTGATTAAGAACATTTCCAAATGGATCAAATAATCGAGCAAAATAATTATCAGAATTTGATTTAGAAAATACTGGCGGGACTCGCGTTGAGCTACCAAGATCCCATTGATATCCAGGAGATTGGGAGATATTTCCACCCATATATGATTGCTGAGGAACACTTGAACTGGGCATTACGAAATTACCATTCATACTACTAACAAGAGATAATGATTGTGGTGAGGGACCTTGAAATGAAGGCCTATTGATCGAAGGTGTATAAGTGGCCATTCTGATTTCAGAGGATTGAAAAACATTCGAGGGACTTTGATTTGGATAATTGTTCAACCCTTGATTATGAGACTGTTCAGAATTGATTATCGCCTCTGGTTGTTGATCCATCTTATCCTCATTTGATTTAGAATTATCAAAAAAATTAAGATTGTTGGAATTCGTTTCTTTTTCCTGTTTAACCAAAGATGTTGTCGTCGTCGTTGTATTATCACTGGAAAATGTTTCTTGATTGTTTGCAAAATAATCACCTAAAAACGCTGCAAGTTGATCTTCAGTCACTTCTTCATTTAATAGACTAAGAGATTGGTCATTAATCACAGGTAGGCTGACTGGTAATGCAATTGATGTTTCTATTAAGAGAAATAAAAAGTAAACAATTTTCAATGTTTAGTAAATTGAAACAAAGTGACAAAATCTAAATGTTACAAAGAGAAAAAGAAAACAAAAATACCACTTCAGATGATAATTACCAAAAACATTGTTATCCATTGTTTCATCTTGGTTTCATTTTTCACTTTACCAAGTGAAAAATTATCAGAATCAGATAATTGATTCTGAATCTGATCACAATTAGATTCTGTCTGATTATCCATTTTACTATTTTCTCAACCTAAACGGACAATTCAGTGGACACAAAGGAGAAAAGCATAAAACGAAAACAAATTCATTAATATGACAATATAGTAGATTTAGTGATTGTAACAACTTACCTTTGATCAAATCATTTAACTAAATTAAACTAATTAAGACCAATAATGACAATGGAAACATTTGTTTACAAAAACAATTTAAAAAACATTTTAATCAAAACAATGAAAAAAAAATCAACACAAGCGACACGATCGGTAGATTTTTGGAAACTCATTGAGGTGAAAGTTTAAAAAGTTGATCAACACTTTTAGTGATTACAATTTAATTAGATTTAATTGACCAACAATCGATTAATTTTACCAATTTAATTAAGTACGATAATACTTACCAATATCTCAGATATCATCTAATTACAATTTAAACTCAATTAATTAGTGGAAAATAAGAAAGATGGTAAAACACTTTTTCTTTTCTTGTATCATTTTCGAGTTGAAAGAAAATTTGAGAAAATTTTTCTTCGACTTTATGATGATTATGATTTACTAATTGTTGATTAAAAATATACAAATATAAAATTTAATTGTATTTTTTTTGCAGAGAATTCGAGTTGATTTAACTTTTCCGCTATTCGCCTGCACAATTACCTGACAACTGTTTTATAGGGAAACTGGTTACCTGGTTACTGGAAATTGTGATCAGCTGAATGAAAGTTAATTGTTTGACAATGTGATTTGTTTTGTATTTTTGTTTTGTTCTTGATTAATGTCACTTAATGTCAATTGATTTATCATTGATTCGGATTTTGTTTAGCTATCCGATTCAGTTTAATCTAAATTCTCTTATGTATCTTTTTCAATGTTGATTCACTTTTCTCTTGGTAAATATTTTCTTATTGATTGTTTGATGGGAACAATTTAGTGTTAATCACTTAATTAACCATGAATTCATCCAAAGATCCACCTGTTGTTGATCCTCTTTTCTCAAAATTAAATGGCTGTGATCATTTACTCATTGAATTGGAATCAAATGATCCATCATCACTTAGTCTTGTCTTCAGGTAAATTCTTAATCTCTCTGATGTTAAATCATTTTCTTAATCACTATTACTTGTATTATTGTTATTCTGTTTCTAATTTTCTTGATCTTCTTTCATTTATATACAGTAATCGAGCTGTTGGTGCTGAATACGACAAATTTATGGAGAAACTTGATGCTAGAATCAAAAGCCACGATGAAGATATCAAGAGAATGTGTAATGCCAATTATCAGGATTTTGTTGATTGTATTCATGATCTTCTTCAAGTTAGACCCAAAGCCGAAATACTTAAGAAAGAGATTCTTGAGATTAATCAAGATATTCAAAAATCATCTGAAAATGTCCAAAGAAAAGCCGAAGAGCTGATTCGATATCGAAAAATAGTTTGTAACATAGAAACAGCGATCGATCATTTGAGTCAATGTTTACCAGTGTTGAAAATGTTCAGTAAATTAACTTCTCAAATGGAGGCGACTCGTTACTATCCGGCATTAAAAACTCTGGAACAATTGGAAACTAATTACTTACCTCGTGTTTCTCATTATCGATTTGCCCAATCGATGAGGGATAAAATACCACAGATTCGAGAGCAGATCAAGGAAGCATCCATGTCAGATTTGAAGGATTTCCTGGAAAATGTTAGAAAATTATCATCACAAATTGGAGAAATTGCCATGAAAAATGCTGCTCATCAACAGAATATCGAAGATACTTTATTAACAAGTAGTTCTAACAGTGCGAGTAACTCTTCATCCAATGAAAACAGTTCCACCAACAGTCCAAGTCACCAAGTTACGGGGAAAAAGTTACCAACAATTGTCTCGCTGAATTCAACATCGATGAACAATTTAAACAATGTCACCTCAGCGAATGCCCCATTGATTACCCCACGAAAGAAACATCGAGCCCCTAAACCACCACCAACAATGTCATCTTCAATTGAAGATGATTTAGATGAGATTGACAGTGAATCAGATTCAGATTTCACCAGAAACGGAATATCAACTGAAGATGAATTAAAAGGAACCGATATTGTTGATTTTTCACCGGTCTATCGGTGTCTTCACATTTTCGGCTGTCTTGGTGCTCGTGAACTGTTTGAAATATATTACCGCCAACAGAGACAACAACAGGCTAAACTTGTCCTTCAACCTCCGATCAACATGCACGAAAACATTGACGGTTACAAGAATTATTTCTGTGGTGTTGTTGGATTTTTTGTCATCGAAAATCATATTCTCAATACTGCTCCCGGTTTGGTAACTAAATCATATCTTGACGAAGTTTGGGAAAACGCTCTACAATCAGTGATCGCCTCGCTACGAACCTATTCATCGTATTGTACTGATGAAAATCTGATGCTCCAAATCAAACGGATTATCATTTTGTTCAGTCAAACACTTCAAAGTTATGGTTACAATGTTAATCCTTTTTTCAATCTACTCATTGAAATTCGTGATCAATATAATGAGATTTTAATGAAACAATGGTGTTCATTGTTTAGATCAATTTTCGATGGTGATAATTATCATCCAATTCAAGTTGAATCTCAATCTGAATATGATAAGATAATCAGTGAATTCCCTTATTATGAGGGTGAAGTAATTTCAACCGGTGATTCTGATTATCCTAAAAAATTTCCTTTCTCATTGTTTGTACCCAAAGTTTTCACCCAAGTGAAGCGTTTCATTAACGCTTGTCGACAATTCTCACAAGATCTTAATATAAGTCAAACTGAAATCGAGGATATGGTCCGAAAGTCAACTAATCTTTTACTTACTCGAACTCTTTCCGGCTGTTTATCTGTTCTAATTAAGAAACCGAGCCTTGGTTTACTTCAGTTAATACAAATCGCGATAAACACCAATTACCTGGAAGACTCAATGAGTTTCTTGGAGGAATATATTTCTCAACCCTTACAGGCCACTGGACTTGGTTCACCAATTGGCGCTTCGACAACTACCGTTGGTGAATTAGCCGGTGGATCACATCTTGCCAAACTTCAAGGAAGCTCGATGTTCAAAGATGCTCGATCTGACGCTGAATCTCAAATATACTTTCTGCTTAATAAAAAAATCGATGAATTTTTGGACATTGCTGATTATGATTGGCTGTTGGTTGAATCATCGGGTGTTGCCTCTTCTTATATTACCGATCTCATCAAATTTTTAACCTCGACATTTCAAGCATTCACCAATTTACCTCTTAAAGTTGCCCAAACGGCCTGTGTTTCGGCCTGTAAACACATGGCCTCATCTTTGATCAATTTTCTACTCGACGAAGATGTCAAAGCGATTTCAATGGGAGCATTAGAACAATTTAATCTCGACCTGTTACAATGTGAATTTTTCGCCAACTCTGAGCCAGTCAAAGGTTTCGAAGACAATACACTTCAAATGTGTTTCGCTGAATTAAGACAATTAGTTGATCTCCTTCTCACTTGGCAATGGTCAACTTATATTGCTGATTATGGTAAACAAGATAGTAAATATTTACGAGTTAATCCTCAGGTTGCTCTTAATCTACTCGAAAAGATTAAGGAAGCGGATAAAAATCGTAACATTTTTGCTTCGTTAAAGAAGAATGAGCGAGATAAAAGAAAATTAGTCGATACTGTAATTAAACAGTTGAAACAATTAATAGTTGCTGCTAATTCTAATTAATCAAAGAAAGAACCAAAAATGTGTAAAAAGAAACCAAATATTAATAAATTAATTTAAAAGATAAAAGAGAAAAAATTGGTTCAAATATATCATATGTTGTGTCATGATAAATTGTTAGCATTTAATTTGTGGCAATTTGTGAGTTAAAATTAATCAAAATGATTAGAGGTATGATTATAATACAGTTTGGCCTCAGTAAATTTTGTATATCAAGATAATTTGGCAGATATTAAAAAAGAGAGACTAGATTATTGTAGAAAGTATATTTACATGTATCATGCTGATTGTTGACGGGAAATTAATTGTCACCTTGGATTTGTAATCAGATTTAAACTTCCCTTGAATTTAAAGATTACCAATGTGATGAAACTTTTTCAACTTCTCCGGGAGATTATCCTTAAACAGAACTGGATCTGCCCTGAATTCAACGGTTTCCAAAGGCATGTAGCCATAAATTTCTGTAAATTCATTGATGCACTTTGATCGAGCATTCAAATGATAAAGTACATCTTTGGATAACATTCCGCCGTTGACACATTCGGGACAACGGAACTTTTTCCTTGGTGCCACTTTAATTGGTCCTTTTCCGGTGACATTGGAGACAAGAAAATTCATCGCGATATCTTCACAATTCATCTGAGCATCTACTTGATCCTTGATTACCTTTGGCATCTCAAAAGTGTATAAATAATTGTAAAACTATGAAAGAAACAACAATTAGAAAACATTGATTTGAAAGGTTCCATCAATTAAATCAATTAAGCAACAAACCTTATGATAAAAAGCAGCTCCCGTTAGAACCATGGAAACGTCATTAGTCCATTCAGACTCGTAGCGATATTTATGAGTAAAATTATTCCACCGATGAACCCGAGAAGGAAAACCAACGATTCGATCAGCAAACTCTCTCCATACTTGAAAAGCAAACTCAAGTTCGTCTGGTGTTAACATTATAATATCATCGTCGATGGCAAGAATGGCCTCAGTTTCGATATCTTTAAATGGATAGAATCGATTGGATAATTTGTTCTTTTTAGTTTTGATCACTTTCAACGGAACGCTAATTTTAGGCCATTCGTCGGCAAGAGGAGGGTCTTTTTCTTGATTATTCCAAATCACTAAAACTTTCACACAACTTGGAGCTTGAACAACTCGATGAATGACTTGGTACAAACTTTCCACTCGGTCGTAAGTGAGTATCACCGCTGTGAAGCCTTTATAAGGTCTAGATGATAATTTTGGGTTAATCAGAGAAAGAGGTTTTAAATGGGAACCGATTTTTAGATGATTCCATTTAGATCGAGTAATCACCGATTGTGGGAATATCCTTTCATTGATCAAAGATAATGTTGACAATGTAATCGATTTAATTGAGCTAAAATATCGTCTCCAAATAGAAACCCCTTGCTCCTTCATCTCAGTGATACGATCGGTTGATATATCGTTTAAAATGTTCATCAAACGATGAAAAGCATGTTCGGTAATTCTGATTGATATACTTCGCCAATCGATTTTATCTTGAAAGGGGAGCACATAATTGTCCATAATTATCACCGGAATACAGCCCATCATGAGAGCATCGCTGAGAAATGGTGATCCTAAAAATGGCGTTTCCATGAATAAACAGAAATCGGCAGAGGTTAAAATCTCAGGGTATTTTAGTTTCAAATTTCTTTGGTTATTACACCTCCAGGAAGATATATTAACTGTCAGATCACATTGAGATTCTAAAAGGATTAATTTATCAGAGTTGTCTTCCTCCATTTTGGTTAAAATTTTTTTGGCAACCGGATTAATAAAAAGATTAATTTGTGGGCACATTAAAAGCCAATGTCTTCGACCGTAACTGGTTAATTTGACCTCATCATCGGGTGAACGAAAAATGTATTGATTACTAAAAGGACTAAACACTGGTATTGATAAATCAAATTGTGGACGGAAAGACCAACTATCGAAACCTCCTGAGGCAATCATCGCTTTTCCAAGTTTAATATTTAATCGATGGTTATAATCAGGATTAGAGGATGGAAGAAAATTAAAGATGAGATGATTTCTTCCATCGTCATTCCAATGAGATAGAGAAGCAAAAATTTTCGAAATTTCTTCAGGTCGCAAATAATTTTGACTTAAAGTGTCAACTGTTGGAATAAATATACATGCCGATCTTGGATCATCAACAAAATAATCACTTTCTTGAATCGCCTTCAATAGTTGATGAAATTCCTCAGTAAATTGAGCCGAAATATCTAAACCACCGTTGTCTTGATATCTTTTGATTGGATAAAGGTAAACTTTTAATCGACCATCATCTGGATCACAAAGATAAACATCGAAACAGTTAAAATGATTACATCCTTTCACCGTTTCAATTGCTGTTGGCCGAGTATTGCCAATGATGATTGTTTCACTATTTTCTGGATCGATTAATCTGAAAGGTTCATAGTAATGGTCAATATCATATCCATTGTCGGAGTTTCTATTGGAGAATATATTGATAAACAAGAAATAGATTGCTTCCAGCAGAGCCAAGAAGACAAGAAAATAGAGTGAAAATTTAACGATCAATCTGATTTGCTTCTTGATATTAGAAGATGAGAAGAAGAAATAAAATTTCATTCTTCTAGATGGTTCAAAGTAAATCTCATCTGTTTCGACTTAAGAGACAACATATCAGGAGCCAAAACCAATAGAAATATTTCATCACTGGAACCGAATCTATTAAATAAAAGAAATAATAATTATTAATCAATCGGTTGATAAAACACAAAAATTGGAGAGAAAATAATTAAATGAATGGGAAAACAGTTCTAATGAGGAAATCTATTGGATTAAAAGTAACATTTAATGACCATTAATTACCTTTGATTAATAAGTATTGCAATTTGAAAAGAAATCAACAAAATTAACCATTTAAAACCACAATTAAAACGCAATTAAGTGAGTTAATTAAACTCAACGGTTGAGTTTCAACCCCAAGAAAAAACTGAAAAAATGTAAACATTTCACAGGAAAACAAAGAAGGCGCCAAGTTTAAAATTCGAATTTTTTATTTTCGTGAACATTATGATATTGATAATCTGAGAATCTCGACAAGTCTAATTGCAATTATATTTAGATTTTAACTCTGTTAACAGAAATTCAATTACATGAAGCTTTTGAATAGTCACAATACTTATATGTCTAGTATTTGGCAGTTTAGGATATACTTTTGGATCATTAAATCAACGAGCTAAGAAATTAAGATCATATTGATAATTTAATTCTCGATTCGCGATTTAAATTTATCAGATTACTAACAATTTAAAGGGGAAACATTTCTAACAGTTGAGGTTAATTGTTAATAAGATTATTCTTCGTTGGCGTTAATTTCTGCCCAACTTTCCTTCCAGGTCAATTCAATCGGTTTTCCAATTCGAGCTGATTCCTTACACGCTTGAGCTACTTTAGTGGCCGCCATCACCTCCATTGGTTTTACTTCAATTGCGCTCAAACCTGAAAAAGCAATTCGTTAATTAGTATTAGGCTAATGAGAGGTTTATAATTTACCTTTGATACAGTCGACAAAATGTTCTAATTGATTAGTATAAGATTCAGTAAATCGGGAAATATGACAATGATGATAAGGAACTGTAGTTGATCCCGATTCAGAATCTAGAGTAACATAAGTTGGTCGAGTTGAAGGTCCAGTTAACAGACCTTTAGAACCGAAAACCTCGAGTCGTTGGTCATAACCATAAACAGAAGATCGAGACATATCGATGGTTCCTAAAACACCAGAGGTAAATTTAAGAACCACAACAATAGTATCGTAATCGCCTGAATCTCGAATTTCAGGATCAAAAGCTGTCCCCGTGGCGATAACAACATTCGGATATTCACCAACAATCCAACAGATCAGATCAATGTCATGTATCGCTAAGTCCAGGAAAATATTAGTCGATCCTTTATAAGCTGAATGACGAAGTGAATCTCGGGAACACATTTTAACCCCATGAATTGTACCGATCTCTCCCTTTTTGACACGATGTCGAACGATACGAAACGCGGGATCGAACCGTCGATTCATAACAGTTAACACAGGAAGATTTCGTTGTATTGCTAATCTGAACACTTTTTCAATGGCTTCGATGCGCTCGGCTAATGGCCTTTCACACATGACCGCTTTTCCAGAACTCAAAGATTTAAGAGTTAGGGACTCATGAAGTCCCGTTGGAGTGCTGATGATTACAGCATCCACATCGGGGTCACTAAAAACTTCGTCGGCACAATTAGGGTGAATCATCTTTACGTCTTTAAGGTTGTACAGGTACTCGAAATAATTTGCACGTTCGACACAAGATTCAACGCAATAGACCAATTGAAGTCGTGGATTTTTCAAGACACGATCAATCCAAACTGTTCCAATTCGACCTAAACCAAACAGAGCCACACGAACTCTACTTTGATCATAGTGTAAAAGTCCATCTTTACCGACCAATTTGACCGCTTTCTCTATTTTGTCTGAATCATGAACGTAACCATTTCGAAGGACCTTCCAACCAGTAGCGTCTCTTTGATATCTAAACATTTTCAATGATACAAATTTTTTAATCAAATTGGAAAATCACAATTAATCTAATTTACTCTCAATTATTATAATTAAAGATCAATATTAAAAAAAATCCATCTAACTGTCACCACGATGAATATGAAAATAATACTATGAACAGTTCAGTTGATTTAAAATAATGATATGAAACTGATCATAACCTCTAATTATCACGGTGATCATGTGTATTAGATTAGTAATCAATAGTAATCAAAATATGAACCATTGTTTCAATCGGTCCAATGATCATAATTAAAGCGAAATAACAACAAAAAATTAACATGAGTTATTCATGTAACAATCAGAATCAAGAATTATGGTCAACCAACTGTGTTCATGGTCATTCAGGTGTAATTATATATTCACTAGCAAATGACAATTTTAATTGATCAAATAGACCTGACAATCAAGTGAATTCATTCAAAGTGGAAAGGCATAATCAACAATCAAAAAAAGAATCAAGTAATTAGAGACTGTGATTAAAAC